GGCGGGCCGGGCGGGAGCCTGCGCGTCCTGTGAGGGAGCTGAGGGAGTCTCACCTCAGACGGGCCGGGCAGCTCCCTTGGCACCCCGTGAAGGCCCCCGGGGCTGAAAGGGAAGCCGGGAGGACTCACCACCCCTTCCTCAGTCCCCCCCTCCTCGCCCGTGAGGGCTCTTCACTCCCTGTTCATCTCCCGCCGGTTGTTTCTGGTAGTTTAACGGATTCATTCCTTTGGCTTTTCCTTCAGACTCCAGGTGGAAGACGATAACAGGCCAGATTAAGAAAGCCGTGGAAGTCTATCAGCCATGCGTAAAGGAGAATTGCAGCTGCCACCAAAGGTGAGAGGCTGGTTTCCTTGTTGGCTGCGCAGGCCTCTGGCTGCGAGGGCGAAGGCTTTCACCAGCGCTGATGGGTGGGAGTTAGCTAGAGAACGTTTGGGCTCTAAAGTGTCGCATCTGCAGCCAGCTCGGGTCATGGTGCTTGGAAGGAGAAGGTGTGTGAAACAGGTTGGCCTCTGTAGTTCCAACAGAAGAGGTGTCCATCTGTGAACTGATCTCTCTCCTTGCCCTCTGTGATTCAACGACAAACTCTATGTCAGCACCTCGTATATGATCACGCAATAAACCCATACGCGGTAAGTGGTATTTCTGTGTTAACAATCTGCTTCTGCCCTCTCTCTCAGTGCAGTGTTGCTAACAAGTCTTCCTCAAGAGCTTCTAAAAGTGGAAGAAATCAAGTATGTGCAAAACATTTTAAAATAGCTAGATTAAGAAAGAACACAGAGTCATTTGGTGTGATAGTGTATTGTACTTTGCTCACTTCCTGTGCTTGCACAGGGCTTCCAGTGGAAGAGAGGAAGGGAGAACAGGAGGAGTGCTCTTTCTGGGGAGTTTAGCTCACCGCTTGAGGGAATTTGAGTGGCAGTGGATATTTAACTACCTGATTTTCACATGACCAAAGTATGACTCAGGAGGAGCTCTTTAGGAATACACAAGTCCTGTTTATTTTTTTATAACTGTGAAGCATTATGCAAAACACCAGCACTCTGCCTAATCTTCCTGCAGTGATTTAGTGCAGAAAGATAGAGACTTATATGTGGATGCAAGACCACTGAAGGCGATACAAGTGTCGACATAGCCAAACCAAATGGAGAAGAGTCAAAATATTCGTTTGTCCTTAGGATTTGGATTCCAAATGCAGAAACACAGATGCTCGACTTCAAGCCTCCTGTTTAAAAAATATCAGATGTGTTCACTCATTTTGGGGGTGCGAAGAGTGCTGTATCAGCTTTTCATGTCGGATGAGTCATGTTGGCCAACTGTTTGTACACTCTGTTTGGAGTTTTTGATCTTCATTGCTCTTGAAATACATATGAGGAGTCTCATCTAGTTTAGCCTTCCGGTCTTTGTCCTCAGTTCCAATTCAGATACAGACTGAAGACGTCTGCTAAGCTTTAAAGATCCACCATCTCCTGCCAACCCTTGGGAAGAACACCTTCCAAAGTGGTTACAACCTCCAAGCTTGCTTCAGAACATGATAGTTGATAGTAACATGAAGTTATGGTTGCTGTGGGTCTTGAAACCCGGTTTTCACTAAAGCAGTAGTTTATTTAAGGGTTATTAAGGAGCACTGCTATAATGGCAAGCATTACAAAAGAACCCAAGAAGATAATACAGCATGTATGCTGTGTGACACTTAAGAAACTCCGTTCATCTTGATAGCTGATTTGGAGGTATGTAGCAGAACACTGAAAGACAGTATTTTCCATGTATAACAGATTGTACTGTGTCTAGTCTTCTCTGACTCAGTGGCCAAAGACTGAAGGTCCTGACTTGTTCGTTGCTACCTTTCAGTTGTCGCTAGGTTACAGTGACATGGGTGTGCCATAAAACTGCAACTTTCCTCCTGTTCTCAAGCTCATTACATATGTATCCCTGCCAGACTGCTTATTCTGTGGTCAGTCCATCTGCATGATAGCGATGCTTTATGTAGTTTTACTGTTTTCTACCCGATTATGAAATAAGCAGAATCCTGGAGGTTGGATGAGACCTCTTCAGATCATTAAGTCCAACCCCTCCGCTCAAGCAGGACTGCCAGGACTGTGTCCAGTCGAGTTTCGAGTATCTCAAAGAACAGAGTCCACAGCCTCTCTGGGCAACCTGTGCTAGTGTTTGACCACCCTCACAGTAAACCAAGGCATTGATACAGTGTCGACCAAAAGTGGGGAGGACTTCTCGGTGGCTGTTACAATCTGACCGGGTTCGCTAGCCACTCCCAGCAGTTAGATCTGAGGACCTTTAGGTTGAGTTTACATAAGCTGCATCCTCCTCCTGTGTTTTCTTATATACATTAGGTTGATGTTTTCATACTGCATTCCTGGAGCTCACTGGTGATGTGCAGGTGTCACAGAACACATGCTAAATAGACCTCTCCTCCTGGGCTGGCTTTCACTGCACACAGCATTATTTGGCAATGCTCCTCCTTGTGACTAGACTCTTACCTTCTTTTTATGTCTGAATAGCGCGGCATTGTGTGAGCAGTTTGGTCTTGGTGTGGCCCATGATTCATGGAAGGCCAGAGCTCAAGCTTCGCAGCTCAATGGCTAAGTGAGCTGAAGGGTTTTATGCATAACCTGCCAGGGTATGTAAGGTGCTTTCTGGGAGAGCAGCTAGAGTTGTCTGTATTGATTTAGCCTCGGAGTCCCGTGCTGGGCTTTCTGTTCAGGCAAACAGCACTGAGTCAAGTTTGGATCTTTGAGTCTCTTGAGTAACAGCTCTTCCAAGTGACTTAAATTCTTCATTATGTCACATGTAGCAGAGCTCCTGGAAGCTACATGCAGCTTGTTTTAGTGAGAATTCTGTTCTGTATACTGCAGTAACTTAATGCACAGTATTGTCCCCATTGTACATAATAATGGCTGATTGTTTTGTTTCAGTGTCTGGAGGCAGGACCTGGCTCCTTTTCGAGGTGGCATTTCCAAGGAGATGATATCAGATGTGGTGAGCCGGAAGCTGGGGACACACTACCAAATCATTAAGAACAAATTGTACCGTGAGCAGGACTGCTTGTTCCCTGCAAGGTGAGAGCTATGCAGAAGAGCTCGTCTCCCTAGCTGAGACACAGGAGTACTTCCAAATCTGCCTAGTTGAAAGTCATTGAGCGCAACGATGTTTCAGAGGTGTGAATTCATCATCAGAGCAGGAGCTTAGAAAATTAACATGTGAGGCTTAAATGTAGCGAGAGGTCAGTGTCATTGTTGCGCTTCAGTGTACGAAGGGTTGGTTGGTTGTCGGATCACGGAGAAAGCTGCAGATCAGGCTGGGTATAACAGGATGGGTTACTTCATTGGTGTCTGTACTGCCTTGGGGCTTAGAGGCTGCCATAGGCAGTTCCCAGCCTGCGTCATGGTACGGCTCAGGCTCACCACCTGTTCTGCTCCTGCGCAGAGAGAAAGGCCTGCGAGAGACTGCAGGATTCTGCCTGCTCCTCATAGCTCTTTGCCATGTCGTTTCTCCACAGATGCAGTGGAGTTGAGCACTTCCTTCTGGGGATCATCAACCACCTCCCTGACATGGAAATGGTGATCAATGTGCGAGACTACCCCCAGGTCCCCAAGTGGATGAAACCCATCATCCCAGTCTTCTCCTTCAGTAAGGTGTGCACACCTTTAAAAGCTGAGCGTTTGAGACATGCATGTCCTCCTTTCTCTTGGGAACATATTTTTGAGGATGGTTCCCCACAGATTTTTGTGTGTCAAAATTGCTTGCTCTTTTTTGCTCTTTGTTTCCTTTCACTTCCAGTTTTCTGGCAGACAGACTTGGAGATTTATTCAATAGAACGGTTTTTCCCCTCATTAGCTCCTCTTCCAGGTCAAAAAAAGTACCTCTGCCGCAGCGGAACGATGCACAGCTGGATGGGATATGTGCCAGCATGGCTGTCATTTGCTGCAATGCCTGTGTTAGAATTGTAGCTGTAGATTTTCAACATTGTTAGGGATTTTTGATCATCAGTCAGCTGTCAACCAGTTAATCTAATTTAATATGAATATTTTAATCTTCTTTTTGGTACCGCAGATAAGTGTTTCTTGTCTTCTTTTCGGTAATATCGCTGTCTCCTGTGAACCCTTTTCCCCTGCATTCTCTTTTCCATCTCCAAACATGCACGCACACTCAGAGGTGCACAGACACATAGAGACATTCGCTCTCTGTGTCTCTATTCCCAAACTGAGAGCCTTCCCATGTGTTTTCCTGCCTCTCCCACTGTTAGACCTGACCATATTATGGTGTCTCATCCTTTCCAACAAAATATCATTACACCTCAAGCTTCAGCTAATCTTGCTTTGCCTTAGTGTATGCCCAACGTTTCCAAATCCTGCACCCTCACTACCCAAGCCTGATCGTGATCCTGTCCTTGACTGAAGCCCAGCAGACAGTAAGATGCAAAAAGAAGCCATAAACCATTTGCTCTTCCTAGTTCAGACCCTATTCTGTTTTGGCTGACTTGTAGCATCTTACCCAGATCTTCAGCTCATGCAGTCTGAACCCCAATACGATCTGTAACTATTGCCTACTCCCAGCCATCCTAAAAGTCTCTCTAGAATTTCAGTACAGCACTGCAAGCATAGTCATTCAAGAACCGTGTTGGCTGCCAGATGTAGTAGTAAAGCTGGCTGTCTTGCGCTTTGACCATTGCACAGCCTTAAGTCTAGCCAGCAGAAGCCAAACTGATGCAGAACAGATTGCAGTAACTCAGTCTTTGCAGAATTCATCATCCTACCCCTGGGTACCTTGCAGGGCCTTGCGAGAAACTGAGTTCTCCGGTCACCGTTGTCCAATATCTAAACTGTAACCTCAGCCCTACCCTTAACTGAAACCCGGTGACCCAGGCACAGCTCACGTTTAACCAGCCAGTGTTAGTCACTGCCAGGGTGAGGAAGGGTCCAGGGTGCACTCTGAGGCTGAAAGCATAAGGGGTTGCAGGATTATCCTAGTCTGCATCTCAGAAGGCCCCACCTGGGGTGCTGGTGGAGCTGTCATGGATTGTTACCAGTGCCTGTTTATGGCAAGACTGAGGAGGAGCAGATCATAGAAGCACACACTCATTTAAGTTGGAAGGGACCTCAGGAGGTCACCCAGTCCAGCACCTCGCTCAGAGCAGGACCAGCTAGATCAGGGTGCTCCAGGCTGTGTCCTGCCCCATCCCACGCACCCCCGAGGACAGGGTGTCCACAGCCAGTGTTTGTCTTCCCTTGGAATGAAAGCATATTTCCCAATATCTAACTGGAATTTCACTTCTTGTAATCAAAGCCTGTTGCCTCTCATTCTGTCTCTGCGCTTCTGAAAAGGGTCTGCCTCCATCTTCTCTGAACTCTCTCATTAGGTGGTAGGAGACGGCATTTAGATTCCCCCAATCCTCCTCTTCCTGTGCACGAACAAACCCATTCCTCAGGCCTTGTGTATGCCCTGTGCACCAACCTCCTAACTACCTTGGTGGCCTTGAGCTCTCTCCAGTATCTCCAGGTGACAGACAGATGGGTAATTGTACAGGAAGGTTATTACTAGTGCAAGGAAGTGGCCTATCATCTGGTTTCATGAAACTTCTTACTGAAGTGCTGGTCTTCCCTCTGATTGTACGGGGATTTAAGCATCCGAAGAGGAGTCAGGAACTGAAATGCTTACATGACCTGGATGTTTATTACAGTGAATTGTTAAGTGATCTCTAGGAAGGCTGGAATGAACTGAAGTGTTGGAAACCTAAATGTCAAAGTGTCTGAGACCCTCTGTCTCTGAGGAGATAATAATGCCTCTTAACTTATGATCGGTAGAAAACATTAGTAGCTACACACAGGCACAATTCTTTAGCAAGGTGAATGGAGTTCAGGTCTTCCGCTATTTACTAATCAGTGGTATCATGGATCTCTTTCATTATTTTCGAACGTGAAAGCCCCATGTTGTCATGCAGCAAGATGCAGCCTTTTTTGAATCACAGGAACATTTTGGTATTGGGTTGTTTTGGTAGGAACCCCAGCAATGCCATGGTGACTGCAAAGCTCTCGTGGCTGCTTGTGGAACAGTAACGGAGAAAGCCAATAGAACTCCCAGAAGGGACGTTCGTTGCTGTTGGGCTCAGTCGGTAAACTGAAGTAGATGTTATTCTTGTTCTTACATTACTCTCCTTTTTCTTAAGACATCTGAATACAGTGATATCATGTATCCTGCCTGGACATTTTGGGAAGGAGGACCAGCTGTTTGGCCAATTTACCCAACAGGTTTAGGGCGCTGGGACCTCATGAGAGAGGACCTCAGAAGGTATGTCTTGGAAATGGTTATGTGGGGGATGAGGTCTGATGGAAGACAAACTCACAGTAAAGGCCATCTACCACTGAGGTGCATCAGGGCAACGTTGAAGTCTAAGACCATGGGTCTGTTGGCCTGTGATCTGTCCTGCTGCCTCATTAACTACATACAGCCTAACTGCTGTATAAGAGTTCTCCATGGAAACCTTGGATGATGTAACTAGGAGTTATAATTAGCTTCTCTGTTTCCAACACTTTAGTAAGGAACAAAGAGGGCAAAGTATAGACATTCTTCATGCTGTCAGGGCCAGATTACTATCATTTTTGCTGGGATAGGGCTTGTCAATAAAGCAGCAGTTATCTTTTGCCTGCAGAAATCTCCCCTGACACATGGAAATACTTTCCTTTGTTTTCAGTGACTTCTTTAAGAGCTGTGGTTTTTTCACTGCAGGGATGATCCAGGATGTTTGTATAAGCTTCTGGAAGGGTAAAGGAAAGTCTTCTTTAGATCTGCTTTTACTTGAGTGTTGTTGTGCAATAGAGAAACCTGGAATCACTCCCAAGAATCAAGAGTTATTACCGGCCTTGAGAGTAAGACAGAAGATGTTTCTGGCTGGGAGTCTTTCTTTTGGCAGGATCTTTGACTATTAGCAGAATAAGGGGCTGTTTCCCATGGAGAGTGACAAACAAGGTGTGCAACAGAGAGTGAGCGTAGAAACATAACAAGAAAAAATCCACCTTAATGTCAGTCACTTGACACCAAAACGCAAGGCTGAATGTTTCCCTCTTCGAAAGATGAAGACGTATGGGACTAATCATAGCTGAAGCCTAATGTGATACAACGAAGGTCCAAAGCATTTACTTACCCTTTCTTTCCCAGTGAACTCCACTTGCGTCACTGGGTTACGAACAAATGCGGAGCTTGACCTGCGCAGCTCAGTTTGGGGATCAGGGCCTACGTAGATGTCAAGCCAGGTGAAACAAAAAAAAAGCAACAAAGTGTTCTCCAGAGGGAGGCAGGTGACTGCGCTGACAGAAATAAAACACATGAGCAGCTGTTTTGAAAGACTCGTTTAGATTTAAACAATGAACCCTGTCTTTTAAATGCAAAACACTAGGGAGGGGTTTTTTTTGTTTGTTGTTGTTGGGGCTTTTTAAATGGGAAATGATAGTGGTTAGAAACTAGTTGTTTTGCACTATCCATATTCAGTGAAGTACAGAAAAATAAAACAACAATGCAAAAAAGTGGATTCAAATTTTAGGTAAATACCCTTAAGGATTTGATGAGGGGGTTGTGTGTAATTCACTGCTTTGACTGAAAAGTATGCTGAAAAGTAGCCTGTGTCATGTTGCCTTAAACACAGTATTTACAGGAAAACCTGTTTCGTTGGACGTGGCTGAGAGTTTTTTCTGCTATAATGAAGAAAGTGATTTCCATCAAAACTGAAGAATAATAAAAAGAGATCATGCTGTGAAAGAGCGCGCTGTTTCATAGTTATATTAAATCATTTATTGCCATGTGTCAACAATATTTTCAGATCTGCAGAAAAATGGCCATGGAGAAAAAAAATCTCTAAAGGATATTTCCGAGGATCCAGGTGAGCATATTTTCCTATAGCAGAAGATTCTACCAAAATAGGCCAAGACAGTGGTCTGTGTGCAGAAATTTCTGTATCTCCAAGACCTAAACAAATGTAACCCAGAAAATATTTTTTTTAAAAGTAAGGAAAGTGAGACATTTTGTACAGCAGCGTTTCACCTTTAGTGATTCTCCACGGGAACTGCCATTTGCAAGTAGTTTGTTACAAGAAGTCTAATATTGGAAACAGAAGTTGTGATGGATTAGCTACGTTATTTCATAATGAATAGAACTAGTAACACTAGGAACCAGCTTGTTTTGTTCTGTGAAGGGAACTGCAGGTGCACGATACAGGTTTAAAGATTTGATACTGATGTGCACACTTCTTGCCAGTGTGAATACTTCGTTTGCCATGCAAGTGCTCGGCGGTGAATCAGCAAGTATTCTCGCGTCAGATTACCTGAGTGGTGGGAGATAAGGGAGTACATTATTTTTGCCCTCTCTCCAGTGACAATTTGGAAACAGTGTTAACCCCTACTCCTCTCTGTTCCTCCTCCATCCCTGACAGGGATGGATTTGATGTCTGACTAGGTAGGCTCAGGAGGTGGTGAGTCTCAGGGATGCTATAGCCTTGTTTATCAGTAGTGTTTTAAATTAGTGTCAGGGGGATCAAGTGCTGAAGATGCTTAGCATCTCTTAGCTCTCTCTTCCACTTAGAAGGGAGTTAAACTCTTTGGCACCCATCAGGATAAGGCTTGAAGGAAACAACATCTCTGCTGATTTGTCCTGGGAATTGCTTAAATAATACTATTAAATATTTAGTAAGTGAAATAAAGAAACATGGCCTCGGATAATTTCTGTACACATAACTCATTCTCTTCTGCTAGTATACCCTTGGACAGAAATACACGGTGTGGTAGGGACTTAATAATGTTTTCAGGGCACACAGGGAGGTCAGCCTTGTAAAGAGGCAGGGTCTTGAGTCCTGTAGTTTGTTAGCTGTGTTGGGTCATGTGGATTGGCAATTACTGATAGCTTTTCTTTTGCAGAACGAGCCCTGAGAGAGATCCCCTCATTCTGCTGTCCCGAGAAGACCCAGAACTTGTTGATGCTGAGTACACTAAAAACCAAGCTTGGAAATCTGAGAAGGTGTGTGGTGGTTGTCTGTCTCCTCAGTGTGAAGGCTGGAAAGGGTAGCATCGCAAGATGGCTTTGACGATTGGCATGCATCTTGTTGGAGAGTTGTGGGTGATCCTCTAGAGGGGGGGAGGCTTGTAGTTCCCTTGATGGCTGCATCTCTCCGATGGATGAAAGGAAGGAGTCTCTAGAGCCTGGCAGGCCAAATGTTTTTCTTGCATCTACACTTTCTGTTCAAGGAAACCAGCACATGTAAGAAAATGAACATGTGCCAATCCCTCCTCTTCCATTACAGCAAAATCAGCCAGCACTTCCCCTTCTAGCCCCAAGCTGCCGTGTGGTGTTGTCAGTCTTTTTAAATGTTTTTCTGTCATCTCCGTTTCTTGGTCTTGTTGTTGATAACTTTCTGGTAACTGTTGCTGATAATTTTTTAGTTCAATACTTAGTCTACAGTCCAGCTCTCTCCAGACAGTCTTGGCTAATCCGGTTATGCTTGAATTCACATAGTCCATTGTCCCAAGCTGTTTTCCATTCTGTAGCTGCCAACTAAGCATTATCATTTAACATGTTTGTGCTGGGTTTTGCTTACAGGCAGTGTGTAATTTACTGAACTTTTTTTTTCTTGTTTGAAGGGCTGGGAATTCTTCATAATACTTACAAAAGCCCACCAGAGAAGGTTTTCTTAGAAGTGGGATTGGAGGGTTTTGAGACTTCAGCTGTGTTTCTAACTGAGAAGGAAAACACATATCACCATATAAACCTCACTGATTTTTTTTTTTCTAATTCTCTTTGTTTGAAGGACACCTTAGGAAAGCCTCCTGCAAAGGAAATTCCACTGGTTGATCACTGCAAATACAAGTAAGAGTTTTGATTAGTAAAGCTATTCAAGGGCTATGGGTTATTTCTTTCCTTGCATGGTATAAGGTCTTATTTTATTTGAAGGTCTAATTCCAGCAACCAGCTCCATGCAGACAAGAAAGCTTGTGAGCAGACATAAGGCCGTTGAAAATTTGGGAGCTTAGCGTGGCCTCATTCAGTGTCAGCTTTCCCCTGTCAGGTCATGAGAAATAAAGCACTTTGGGGAAAGTAAAGGTCTTAGATCACTAATAAACATATAGATTGAAAATTTTGTTTTATTTTGATCAAAAAGGCTTTCTATCAAATTTTCTTTACATTCCTGTACCAAGCTGTGCATTCAAAATTATTTTTTTTGGTGCTACAGTGATAGCATTACTGTCTTCAAAGACATAAGGAACTAAAGAATCGTGTCTTCGTATGCCTACCAGGGCAAGTGTTGCCCCTGGATGTGTGTCGTGAGAGACCCTGAAATACGATTGAGCAGATACAGTATCAATTCACACTTTATATGTTGTTTGGGAGAATGTGGTTTTGATTTACAGAGGCTTTTATTTTTTAACTACTTTGGGGAGGGTTTTTTGGTGTAGTATTCTTGTGGGTTTCTGTGTAAAAATATAAACTCTTAGTATGTATGCAGTTGTATGTCTGGTGTTTTTCTTCTTGCTTTAAAATTACCTAGTTACGATTCTACCAGCTAGGATCTGCTGATACAAGAACTCAGACATTTGGCTGGCTCTGTGTTTTTCTGCAAATATGATTGACTTGTCTCATTTTATATTTCACTAGACTGTTGCCCAGATTTCTCCCTTCTGTCACACATAAACTTCCCAACTCCTGATGCCTCCTAAGCTCCTCATGCAGTATGGGCTGAGACATTCTCACACGCTTTTGTCGTAGCCCGGGGTCTGGCAGGGTCAGCATGAACTTCTCGCCGCTTCCTTCAGCGCAGGTGCTACAGCAGGCTGTCTGAGAGCAGCCCTCAGCGTCTTGGCTGAGGTTACGGATGGTGGGAGCTGCGCCTGGGATTGGGCAGAGGCACTTCCTCACTTCCAGGCCACCGCTCTTGTTACATCTCTACATGTATTTGTTCAGTTCCTAATACAATGAGCTCCTTATCCCTGCCTTGAGCTCCTAGGTAATAGAAAGAATGCAAAATAATTTCAGATTTAGTCCTTGTCACTTAGTCCTGAATTAAGTTTAGCTATAATTCCCATCTCACCCAAAATACATACAATATATAATCCCCATCTCACTCCAGATAGCTTCATTAAAGGAAGATCTCCCTTCCCCCAGCCCAAAATGTTTGACTTCAAAGATTAGTTATATGTACTGAGGGGTTTTACCCACAGGAAAAACAGCTTTCTAGATAATTGGAGAAATGTAGGTTTGAAAAAGCAAGCAAGTAAGCAAACAAACATCCCTCTGAGATACAGTTTGCTAAGAGAAATTCCCCCCTTCCCCCCACATCAAGCCCACTTTACTAACTTGGCAGAAAATACTGAAAACAAAATTGTGGATTCTTTGTTATCTGCAAAGTCCATCTGTTGTGTGCTAGCCTGTTTGGCCTCCTAGGGTTGCATTCCCAAGCTGATATGAAACAATTAGATTCAGATTAAAGCAGGATCCCAGAGGAAAACAGAAAACCAAAAACCCAACTGAGATAGATGTGGGAAAGCAGAGCAATGAACAAGAAAGCTCACTGCAAGGCAACAGAGAATTGGGAAGGAGCTCCTCGTGGTAACAGAGTCTCTGAAGTGCAGTCCCAGGATCAGCATCCACCTTGTGACCTTCCAGGCCTCGTTGGCAGCTGTCCGTGAGGCGCCTCTGGGTTTGTTGCGAGCAGGTGTCTTTGTTGGAGGCAAAGCAGCACACCTTGATTTTCTCCCTTGGCAGGCAGCAGAAGCTCAGCTAGCACACCCTTAACTTCGCTGACCTTTCCTATGAGGAGCTTCAGATAAATGTCTTCCCCATGTTTTAGCGACAGGTGCCCGGCCCCGTGTGAAGGGGACCCCCCAGCCGCTGCCTCTGCGGGAAGGCTGACTGCTGCTCGGAGCCCGGTTCCTTAGGGCACTTCCTTACAAAGTGCTGGGTGTCATCGGGTCCCTCTCTCTGCTTCTCCTTTTAAAGGTATCTGTTTAATTTCCGGGGAGTGGCTGGGG